GTAGAGTGCTCTCCTTGAGCTGAAGAGCTGAGAGACAGCACCCAGGGCCAGACTTCAAGCCCTAGAACTGACAAAATAAAATGAAAGAAAGAAAAAAAAAAGAAAGAAAACTTGTCAAAATATTCTTTTATCTAGTTTCTGAAAATCATTACTGTGTAGCCCACATTCCTAAATTTCCTTTCAATATCTCCTTCCCATACTATGTCTTTTTCCATAGCAAGCAGATATTTCTGAATTGTACATTAGCTATCTTTGACCTTAAAATGGAAACAATTCAAATACTATTTTCCATTTTACTCTCTTCTGTAATTTCCTCCAGAATGTTTTAATTTTCATTGGTTCATAAAATCAAGACAAAGAGATAGAAACCGAAACAGAGCAAGAGAAAGTAGAGAAGAAAAGAAACAATTATTTGCTACAAGATTCAAGCTACAACAGAATTGATCCAAATAATAGAGAAAATGTGCTTCCATGAAGCTGGGAGTAGAAAAAGAAAAGGAAACTTGAATATAAAAGAACTGGACAACATAATTTGGGGAAGAGGGGACATAACTGGTGAAGATATTTTGGAGTTAACTGATCTCTCATTTTCCATCTATCTCATAGCCATGTGTGAAACAAGCATTCTCCTCTCATCTTCAATAAGGAGACTTTTCCCTCTGGTGAAGGCAGAATTATATCTCTTTCAGGACACAAGTCACCTCAACTTTAATGTTGGCAAAGCTTCAGGAGGAATCAAGCAATTTTCTTTTAGGATTACAAAGACACGGAGATGATATTTTCTGAAAGTTCCCTAGAGTCTTGATATGTCTGTGAGAAACATTCTTTAATGAAGACTGAAAGCATGAACTGTGGTCATAAATCAGGTACAAAAGTACATAGTGTTGACAAACCTTAATGGACTTAAAAGAATCAAAGCTACACACAATGTTTTCTTTGGACACAAAGGATTTAAATCAATAATATGGGAACAAGTGGAAAATTTCTAAACATAGAATAATTCTAAATTATATTTCAAAAGCCAAAGATGAAGCATTAAAGAATAAAATTAAAGTACATAGAACTGGATGAAAGCAAACATACAATGTAAAATCAATTAAATAAGGAAATTTATAGTCAAAATACAGTAGAAAAATACAGTAGATACAAAGACATTTCTCAAATGACTTAATTCATTCCCGTGAAGAATTAAATAATAAAGGGAAAAATTAATATAAAACAAAAAGAAAATAAAAGATAAGAAATGGAAAAAATAAAACCACAATTAAAACAAGTGAAATAAAAGCTTTATTTAAAAATGGAATACACCTCCAAATAAAAATGAAATACATCTCCCATTAATAGGTAAGAAAATTCAATATTATTAATAATGTAAAAAGTTCCAAAGCTTGTCAAGTTCAGTGTGAATTCTATCAAAATTCTATATTGCTTTTTGGCAAATTTGACAAGCAGATAATAAATTGATTTAAAAATGCAAATACCTCTGTGCTGAATTATTTCTTCTTTCTCTAATTAATATTTTTTTCTTTATCTTTCTCTAACTTAATCTCTAATTTCCAACACAGAAATCCTCATTCTTTTGGGTATAATTATTCAAATTTATGTCAATACTGTGGGAATTACTATGTATTATAGACAGCAGCATAGTATTTTTTTTTGCTCTAACAGTCAGTAAGCTCCTTAGTCTCACATTTATTTTTATTTGTGAATAATTTCTGACTGAGTTTCCAGCCTTCCAGATATGTTGAATAAAAAACTTCTACTATAATTATATTCTTTGTACATTCTCTTTTTCTTGTTATCACCCTTACTATGAAATTTTATCAAAGGAGAGCAGAGACAGAGACAGAGAGACAGGGAGACAGAGAGACAGAGAGACAGAGACAGAGAGAGAGAGAAAGAGAAAGAGATTGGAGAGGAGGGGAGAGGAGAAAGAAGGAGAGAAACAGACAGAGTAACACACAGAGAAAGAAATTAATACATTGGAACTGGACTGCATTCAGTATCCTAGTCTTGCTACTGTAAGTTTTGTCCCATAGAAAGCTTCTCTAAAATTCTACATTGTAATTTTTAAAAATCCAGAAATAGTGATTTCAAATGTGATAATTCTTAGAATCAGGCTAGGCCCAATAGTTAGCTTAATAAATAATATCTGTTACTACTACAATTATGACTGTGACTACTATTTTGACTACTACTACTACTACTAAATCATTAATTATTTTGTGGTGCTAGAATACTGGACAGGAACTCTACCATGTAAACCACATCCAGCCCTTTTTATTTAGTTGTTTATCCAGTAGGGTCTTGATTTTCTGGGCTGGCCTGAATAAGGATCTTCATACTTATAACTTTTGCATAGCTGGCATCTCAGGCAAGAACCACTATGTCCAAATGTGTGAGATCAAGTCTCAAGAATTTTTTGTCATGTTGGCCTCAAACTACTGTTCTTCCAGGCTACATGTCCTGAGTTACTTGGAGCCACAGTACTAGGTCTCCATTATATTTAAAACTATTTAAATATACTTAAAAATCAGAAATAAAAATTTGGAAAGACAAATTGATAAAGGGTCACATGCAAATAATGTATAAATATTTTTATAGTAATAAGCTATATGTTGTAAAACTAATTTTTATAAAAAGGACTTTATTTTATATTTTGTCAATGGATAGAAACCCCAGTAAACTTCCTTACTTTATAGAATTAAATGATCTAAAGGAAGTCTGTATAAATATTGTTAAGTATTCAGTTGATTCTGAATAAATAAATTTATGTAAAAGTTACCTTTTTATCTTTCTTTCTTGTTTTTTTCAGATCGTAGGATTTGACCTCTGGGCCTAGGCCCTGTCCCTGAGCGCGTTAGCTCAAGGTTAGTACTCTACCACTTTGAGCCACAGCTCCACTAATGGTTTTCTGGTGGTTAATTGTTTCCACCTTGAGCATTTGCTTAAGCCAGTTTAGGATTTAATGGCCAATTGCATTTCTGTTGTTGTTGTTGTTTTCTTTTTCAAAATTATTAAAGATAAGTAGTTAAAGGAGTTGATATTCAACAAAGCAGTTTATGAATATAATGAATCTTGATTCCTGTCTCCCATTTCATCATTCTCCTTCATCCCTTCCAACCCTCCTACTTCCCTCAATTTTCTTAATTTTGTAGATCTGACCAGGCTGGCTTTGAACTGCGATCTTCATATTTCCGCCTGCTGAAGAAATAGGATTATGGGAGTGAGCCACTGGTGCCTGGGATTACTGTTTTAAATTCTACTATACAAAGTGGCTTATAACATTGCAAAAGAAAAACAAGCAAAGCTCATTGTGATTAACAGGTTGATTTATTATTTAATATAGTATTTGAATAAAAGGTAAAATACATTGTAAAATGTTTTGCTAAAAATAAATCTTTAAAGCAGCATTTGGAAAGCTACTGGAAAATACAATTTCAAATGAAAAGCAATAATTTTCAAACCAAGATCAGTTTGTGGTCTTTTTGGGAATTTAGGGAAGCAAATTATCATTCAGTTAAGTATCTGAAGCAACTTCCATAGTAAAGCATTCCGAAGACATAGAAAAGTGAGAAGCTTAAGAAAAGCACCAGCTGCCACTATGTCACTAAGTCAACACCAAATTCTCCCTGGTTCTCATCACAGGAAGGAGAAGAGAGAGAAAAGACATATTTATTGGTAATAAAACAAACCCTGTAATTACATTTACTTTGAAGATCTTCTAAAGGCATTTTGGTAAGGTTACTAAATTTGTGAAGAGCAGAAATAGATTGTAGTTTTTAAGGCTCAAGATCATGCATTATAACAAAATACAATTACCAGTGTGTAAATGACACTGAGTATCATACAACATATTTAAAGCTTGTCATCTGAGTTAACAGTGCACAGATTTTCTTTTTGAATCCTTTAGCAGTTTATAGGCACATTGCAATGAGCTTTCATACAAATGGAGTAAATGTCATTTGATGTATATCACTACACTTTTATGACTAATTCAACAAATAACTCTTTGCGACCAACTTAAAAAAATACTCAATAAGCAAAATGCATGTTTAGGATTTGAAAGTTTCTCAAACATAAAACATTTTACAGAGTTGTAAAACAAAAGAAATCAGCACCTGAAAAGAAATGAGCAAGTAAAAACAAATTTTCACCTATTGATGTTATAAAGCAACGTTTTACACATTTATCTTCTAGTTCGTAGACATCGAATATTTTAAATGATCACTCTTTTTCTTTAAGAAAAGTAGAAAGTGCAGGAAGAAATACTTTAAAGTGACTCCAGTTTCCCAAGTAAGGCTGATGAACCAGATAAACCACAACTCACTGGTGGCTCTCATCACTTCTAATTCTTGTTATAACATGCTTAACACAGATCATATGTACTCGATGTTATAATATGAATATATGGTAAAAAGACATTCAGTTTTGCCATAAGCTAGTGCTTGAGTCTATTAACGTATCAATTACCCTAATTACTATATACTAAATAAAACATGTAAATGTGGAGAAAACAAAACAAATGAAAAACAGGGAATCTAAGAAGAGTGAAGCAACATTACTACCACTAGAAAAGAAAAACAAAATGAAAACGTAGGGCTTCAAATAATTATTTTAAAATGTGGTTTTGATCATTCCCTGTGTTTGAATTCAAAGGCACTTTCTAAAGAAGGACATAATTCCATAATTGTCTTCACCTTGAGCATTTGTTTAGGCCAATTTAGGATTTAATGGCCAATGACATTTCCCTGTATGGTTTTTATTTTTCAAAGATATTATTTTATTTTATTTTTTTGGGTCCAGTTTTGGGGCCTGAACTCTGGGCCCAGGCGCTGTCCCTCAGCTCTTCAGCTCAAGGCTAGCACTCTACCACTTGAGCCACAGCGCCACTTCTGGCTCTTTTTTTTCTTTTTGCTTATGTGGTGCTGGGGAATCGAACCCAGGGCCTCATGCATGCTCTACCACTGAGCCACCTTCCCAGCCCTGTTTGGTTTTTTTTTAATGATTAAAGATAAAGACAAAGGAGTTAATGTTCAATAAAGCAGTTTATGAACACAACAAATCTTGATCCCTGTCACCCACTTTGTCATTCTCTTCCATCCCTCCAACCCTCCTACTTCCCTTATTTTTCTTAATTTTGTAGATATGCATTAAATTTTATGACTGCATTGTCACTCCCTTCCTCTCATTATTTGTATACCCTGCTTTACTGGATCTCCCCAACTCCCAGTACTTGTTTCTCTGATGTAACTTTGTTGGACTGTGAGTTTATTTTGTTGTACTATAACTTTAAAACCTAAAACCAATAAGAAAGTGCTCCTCTATTTGTAATCCTTGGTAATGGTGACTTCAAGCCCTTTAAGTTAGACATAAAGAAGGAAGGCTCTTTAGCTGCTCAACTTTACCATCAGAATAGTCACCCTCCAGCCAAGTCAGCTAGAGCAAACACTACCTAGGCAAAAGGCAACTTTAATATGCTTTCACTAACTGGAACAATGTTCTCTTTTTCCTTAAAGATTAGTTCGACTAAATGAAAAATATAAAAAAAAAAGAGTTTGGAATGGAGGTTTGTGAATACAAGCTTTACATTGATACATTGTAAATCACTGATTATTGTTTCTTCTCTCTCTGACTTTTGCTTTTGTTTCTTAACAAAGTATATACATTGGAGGATGAATGAAGAAAGCAAAAAGTCAGAAGTGGGATTATGTCTGACTTTGATTACATGACTTTTCCTTTGCTTTTTCAGTATGGGCATCTTCTTTGGCAGCTTGAGCATCCCTGTCATCATCAACGATTTGAATATCTGATGTATTTTTGTCACCTTGCCGCAAGCGGTAACTTTTATAGGCACGCTGAATGATGGTGGCTGAAACTGCCTCTTGTTTTCGTTTCAGAGTCGTTGTAATAGGTTCATATGTAATTTTAAAAGGGTTGGCTGACATAAACCCAGACTCTATCTCTGAAAGGACTTTCTCCATCCTCTCATCTTTACCCATAACTCTTTTTGTAAGAGCAAGGAGGATGTCAAGGCAATGAATTCTGTCTCCAACAGCCATGGGAAGATCCAGAGCCACAAGCTGTCCCTTGTTTGGTTTTGCCATGAAAAGAGGAGGATCAAGAGCAGCTGCGAAATCTGAAAGCTTGCTAGAATCTATATACTGGGTCCTATCAGGATCAAATCTCTTCCATACCTGAAAGAATTTCCTAAAGTCATCTTCACTCAAGGTCCTGGCTTTTTTCTTAGAAATGATAGTTACAAATTCCATTATCACAACAATATACATATTCACAATGATCAGCCATGCTATGAGGATATAACTGACAAAATAGAAAATGCCAACAGAAGGGTTTCCACAATCTCCTTTAACTTGAGTCCCAGGATTAATTTTGTCAGGATCACAGTCAGACCATTCACTGTTGAAAATGGCCTGAAGCATCCCATCCCAGCCTGCCAATATGGTAACTTGAAAAAGACAGAGCATACTGCTGCCAAAAGTTTCAAAGTTGGACACATCATTAATTCCGGCTTCTTTTTTGACATAGGCAAAGTTATACATGCCAAAAATGGCATAGATGAACATGACCAGGAAGATGAGAAGACCGATGTTCAACAACGCTGGGAGAGACAGCACGAAAGGAAGCATCAGATCATGGAACACCTTTGGTCCTTTCCCACGACGCAGGATGTGGGCCATCCGAGAGAGAAGGATCAGTTGCACCAGGGAAGGAGGAACAAGGTAGTATCCTATTGTCACAGGCACCAGTAAACCTCATGTGGAAAAGATGAAGATAATAAACTCACTCACACAGAAGTGTAGTAGAGAGATATACATTATTTTGCACTTTATTGGTTTTTCTATATTTTATGAATCTCTCTTATATTATAAAACTCTTCTATTTAATGATAAATTGAAACTTTGGGGCTACATATTAACTCTATCAATGAACAGAGCAAATAGAAAAATTGAAAGATAATTCTCTGTACTATCATCTTTAGAACATTAGAGACTGAGTACTGCTAAAAATCACAGATAACCTAATTGGTAAACCAGAACAATAATCTTCAGTTTTCCTGAGTGTTATTAAAACATGTAGTTCAATCCAACCCTTATTCAATGCTTTATAAAGGCATCATGGAACTGCTCAAAGATAAGTGATACTTTTTTCTAGTCTGCAAAATTTTATAATTCAGTAACTGGTGACAGATGTTAAAATAAATATAATGCATAATAGAAAAGCCTGACAAATTACAAAAATGTCTGATATTCATGGTTATAATTTATTTGTTTTCTACCAGCAATATTTTGAGTCCCAGGTGCACTACATTTTAATTAAATAAGAATATGTGAGTGTTTCCTTAGAGCTTAGAGATGATATAGTTGGGGTTGAGAAAATGGTGGAGAAGAGAGCCATGTGCAGAGGCTATGTGAAGTGGCATGTTAACTAATAGGAAGCATTAATCAGTATCATTTCTATTAAACTGGGCTACTGGAAGGTGAGCTTCTTTGTGCTGTCTCTTACCCTAGGCCCATAAGTGCTTTAGGGTGTCTTCTAATCTTACTGAAATTCTCATTTCTTCTCAGTATTCTAATGTCTTTGACTATTGAGGATCTATCATTTATTAGTAAACAAATCTCTCAACTAGCTCACTACTAAAATTTCCAACTTTTTCTTATCTAAAATCTGATTGCACCTGATGACATGATTTCCCGTGCCACACTTAGATAAGTGCAAGTAGCTCATTTTTTTATATTTCTCAGGGGAAAAAATAAAAAAGTATTATCCTTTCTTCCCAATGAAAAAGAAAGAGCAGAAACCACATAATGCCATTCATTCTCATCATTTTTATCATAAAAATAAAAAAAAGCTGGGAGCTAGTGGCTCATGCTTGTAATCCCAACAATTCAGGAGGTTGAGATCTGAGGATTATGGATCAAAGCGAGCCCAGGCAGAAAAGCTCATGGACTCACATTTTTTTTTTTTGGGGTCCAGTCATGGGGCCTGAATTCTGGGCCTTGGCTCTGTCCCTCAACTCTTCAGCTCAAGGCTAGTGCTCTATCACTTGAGCCACAGAGCCACTTCCAGCTTTTTTCTTTTTGCTTATGTAGTGCTGAGGAATCGAACCCAGGGCCTCAGGCATGCAAGGCAAGCGTTCTTCCTCTGAGCCACCTTCCCAGCCCCTGGACTCACATATTTAAAAATTTTATTTCCTTGTAAAGATGCTATACAGAGGGGTTACAGTTACGTCAGTAAGGTATTGAGTATATTTCTCATCCAGCATTATTACACACTCTTTTGTTTCTCCAATGAACCATCCAAAAGACAAAAGTGGAGCTGTGGTTCAAATGACATAGTGCCATCTTTGAGTGAAAAAGCTGAGGGACAACACCCAGAGTAAGCTTAATTACGTCATTCTAAGGTATAAAGTGTTTCTCATGTCGTCCTCGAACTTTAACGTATATTATATGCTAGAAGGATCATTAGCCATTTATTGGTGGTTTCTGACATAAAGTGTAAGCTATGAGCTCAGTAACACGTTTTAAAAATATTTCATATTTTTCAAGCATGTATACATATTTGCATTTAAAAATGGGAGACAAGTAGTCCTTAGTTATTTTTCCTCTAGAAATACTACATTAATTTGACTGAATTAATGTTACTACAAATGAAAAACAAACCAAACAAAATATTACCTGTCATGGAGAAAACAACCACCACAAAATCAAAAATGTTCCACACAATGGTGAAATAGTAACAATGGAAGGAGATGAGTTTCAGTATGCACTCAACACTATATAGGATCACAAAAACCAGGTCAGTCCAGGTGAAAAAGACATCCATTTGTAGACTCTGTTCATCACTTTGTAACATGAGTGTTAGTGCTTGCAGACAGATCAGAACCATACTGATGACTTTAAAGACTCTACTTGTCACAAAGTCAAAAATACAGCCTTGGAACTTGTTCTGTAGGCAAAGAAAACTAATTGTCATATTTTTACTAACATGATATTGACAAACACTGATCTATCTATCTATCTATCTATCTATCTATCTATCTATCTATCTATCTATCTATCTATCTATCTATCTATCTATCTATCTATCTATCTATCTAGTCTATCTATCTATCTATCTATCTATCTATCTATCTATCTATCTATCTATCTATCTATCTATCTATCTATCTATCTATCTATCTATCTATCTATCTGTCTGTCTTGGTGATGGAGATCAAACCCAAGTTGTAGAACATGCTAGCACATGCTAGAACATGCTCTACCACTGAGTTAGGTCCTGGGCCCATACACATACAACCATTCAAACTTTTGTCAAAAAGTGCTTATTTTTAAACTGTTGCCCCATAGTTTTGAAGCTTCATCAATCATCTAGACATTTTTCTTACTTTTGGGCGAGGAACTGAGGTTTCAGAATCTTCATACATCAGCCTCTTGAGTGCACGGTACTGTTTCTTCTGTTTGGCTGTTATGAAGATATTTGTGCCTCCCTGGTAAAACATTAAAGAAAGGGTTATTAAAATTGTTTATCCAAATTATTGTTTGCATTAGTACAAATTTTAGGAAAAATTGGTAATTATTGACCTAATTCCTGCAAAAATCATACTTGAGCACATTTGACTTTCTATGCAAAAATCCTCATGAAGCATCACAGGGGTTATACAATGGTACTGAGTGATTTTTTAAAAATCATCTTTTTGTGTATTTTCCTATGCAAAATCAATCCTATATTTACTTTTGAGTTTTCTGAAGATTTTCTCTTGTTACAGAGAAACAAAAAAGAATCAGTGGAGGAGATTTGATAGCATTTTATAGAAGAATTTAACTCAACAGATAGTTTATTTGCACCTTTTAACAAGTGGAGATAGAATTAGTCAACTGTCTTTATATAGTAATATATTATTTTGTTTTATGAATACTAAATTCCAAAAATATATTGTGTGTAGTTCTTCACAGAACCTTCTGATGTATCTTTGTGTTTCTACTGCTAATTTCAGTATCTCAAGCAAGCTATGTAAAATGAATAATGTCTGAATGATATAAGCATTCAAAGTCATTAATGTCATAAATCAGAAACTGTTCACTTATTACTGATAAGGTTCACCACCATGACGCCTAAAAATAAATTCTAGGGTGTTATCCCATTGGTTGAAGTGGCAGCATCCACTAAAAACAACTCTTGATCAACCCAGCTCTTTGCAAACACCTGGTTCATGGAGATGTGGAGTGTTGGGCAAGATTAAGTAAATGGCTTCAGTTTGATGGAATGATTGTAAATGGAACTTCAAAATTATTCTTTCTTTCGTTCTCTTGTCTTTTCTATACATGATAGAAAGAAGGTCACTTAGCAGGGCATATGAGTGGACTTAAATGACCTTTTAAGGCTTTTCCATTTGTGGAAATCCAGAAAGAATTTCTGTACAGAATGATATCAGTGGTTGTTTAATTCTCTCTCAACCATTGTCTCAAGCATTCCTGTTCTGTAGTCAGCTGGGGTTTATTACTTTTTCTACTGCTAGCAGCAGGAACAACATAACTCAGAAATTTGCCCCATTCTGACTATGATTCTGAGGCCTTTCAAATATACCAAAAGAAAGAGGATTTTTCTTTTGGTGTCTTCACATATTTATGGCAGTTATATAATAATATCACTTAGTCATTTTCAACACATAATTATTTAGAAAAACATTAAAATGTAGGTAGTTTATAAATTTCAAACTTGTAAGGATACATTTTGAATACATTTTATTAGAAATGTCTCAATTAAAAGAGGTAAGTCGAATCTAAAGCCAATAACCAAAGTAGAATACTTTTTATAAATGTGTCTTATTTTTTCCTAGCATTTATGAGCAAAGAATATTTATACTTATCTTTATTCTGTGCTTGTTAAAATTAGAAACAATAGCACCAATCAGCATACTTAGGGGAAAAAATAATCCAAAGATAATGAAATGGAGAAAGTATAAATACAAATGGAGGTTGTTTTCAAAGAAAGGTTGCACATTTACCTAAAATGGAGTTAAAAAAAAGCAAAACAATTGCATTATTTATTTCAAAAGTGTACAATTTAACTTTTACATTTATCTACCTTCAATGCTTAATTTTAAGCAGTTTCAACACATTTTCCAAGTAACATTAGATATGCTTTTTTCCCCTTTTCTTTAGGAAATTTGAAATATACAATATTTAGGCATAACCTCAATATTTAAAATACAATTAGACATTGTGTTTAAGTGTTGCTGACATTTCAGGTAGATCTGTACTCGTAATTCAGAAATGTCCAGAATTTATCTGCCTTCTTAGCACAGTAGGCAGTGGCTCGGTCTCATAATCTGAAGAAATGTCCAGAATTTGTACAATACCTAAGAAGAAAGTGACTCTATCAACATATATTTCAAAAATATTTTAAGTTTTAATTTTTGTACTTACTATTTAATTGTTCATTTATTATCATTTTAAATGTGTGCTTTATAAAGTAATTTGTTATAAGGAAATACAGCAATGCTATGTGAAATAATGTTTTCTCCTGGTGAAAGAATCCCATTGCTTTCTTGATTAGCATATTAAAGTTTGTTTCATTGGTTTAATTATTGCTACCAAGTGTGGTAATCTTCAAGTAGACCCACTGGTCTTCAGTCATTGTTCACATTACTGAAAGTTGTCATTGCTCATGGAAAACACATATACAGTGGATCCTGTCCTTCAATCACAAAAATAGGGCTCTTCTTGCATTTAACAATACCTTTAGGATGATTTTGTACTTACACTTGTAGAGTCAACAGCTGAATTCATGATATCAATCCAGCCATTAAATGTTGCCTGTTATAAACAAAATGTATTTAACTTTTATGAAAATCTCCATCTCATAGTAAATAAAAAATAAAACTAAATTTGCTGTTAATATTCTGAAAGACTTTAGAGTATGGATTGCCAAACTTCAACATACTGTATAATTGAAGTATGTAATTATTTTAATTGGTAACTATTTTAGTTTATCCTTAATAAAAAAAACAAGAAAAAGAGAAACTAGAAGAGGAAAAGGTAAATAGTAAGTACATCCTCTCAAATAGCCTATATGTATGCTATATATACATATATATATATATATATATATACACACACACTATAGAGGGAGACAGCTTCTCTGAATAAATAAAAATGAAATAGTATATACCTTCATGTCTACTAGATATTGAGTCATGAAGTAGTAAAAGCAAGCTGGGCACCAGTGACTCTTGCCTATACACGTAATTACTAAGGAGTCTGACATCTGATGATTGAGGTTCAAAACCAGCCTGGACAGAAAAGTTCGAGAGAGTCTTGTCTCTAATTAATTGGCCCCAAAAACTAGAAGTGGAACTGTGGTCAAGTGGTAGAGCTCTATCCTTGAGCAAAGAAACTCAGGGTCAGTGCCAGAGTTTAAGCCATAGCACCAGCACACAAATTAAAATTAAAAAAAAGAATAAAAACAGTAGTACCTGAAGTTGGACCAAAGAATTGCAATCTTATTATCAGTTATTGATATGGAAAATAATTTTAATCAATACTTGTGATTTCCTTTGCAGTGGTTCCTCTTATTTCCTTCTGCCAACAGGAGAACCATATTTCCCTTTTGTCTCTTTAAAGGAGCCTAACACAGTATGTTCTGTGACATTCTATTAACTAATAATTGCCAACATGTTTTATAACCAAATGTATTAATGATCCACATCTTATTCTGTATATTCAGTCTACAATACAGAAAACCATATGATTCATATTCTTTCTTTTTTAAAAAAAGGTGTAAAAGTATACTTACAATTTGAAATAGAGACAGAAAGCCATTTCCAACATTATCAAAATTCAGTTTTGCATTTTCCCATGGCATGGTTTCATTAAAGACAAGGCTTTCACATTGACTCCTGTTCATAACCTCAAATATAGGAAATTTTTCTCCACTTGTTGGGTCAAAGCAGGCATAGAATGTGCCGGCAAATAAGTTCACTCCCATCACACTGAAAACCAGCCAGATCATAAGGCAGACCAGAAACACATTCAAGGTGGGTAAAGTTGTTTTTATCAATGCTCTGACAACTACCTGTTATTAAAAACATGGACCTTAGGTAAGAAATGTGAAATTATTTTAATTTCTGATGAAGTAGAAAATACTATTTAATATAAATGAAATCTGTGGAAGAGAATCAAAAAAAGTTTATAGTGAGCAGCCAACATGCAAGCATTGGAATAACTAAATAGAAATCCAATTTATTGAAAATATATGTTAAACGTTCTGACAGTTTCAAATTATTTGAGGCAACAAAGCTAACTAGTACTAATAAGACTTAATTTCAGTAACTTAACATATGTCTAAAGAGTTTCTGTATTGGAAACAGAAATGGTCTAGATAAACAAAGTTGTGTTTGTATGAGATTATCTAGAAAATATGTAAAATGGGAGAGAAGGGGTGGCTAACTATTAAGGACCTACTTTCTGGGACCTAGGGAAGGAGTGAGATGAGGAATAAGAGGCCAAGAGTATGATGGAAGGCAGGGAAGGTTTAGCAAACACTGAATGGTGGTCAGTTGTAACTTTTTACTGAAGTATCTTCCACCACCAATGAGTCACACCAGACTGGGAGGTTTGGGAGATTAATCCGCTACCCAAATTTGACTACTAAGAACACTCTATAGTCATTGTTTTCACTCCCTTGACTCAATATTGGCCATTTTCTGTAGTCGAATCTACTAGTTTTCTTCACATTGGTCAGTGAAGGCTTAAACAATGAAGTGGGACAGAAAGGACAAATATTAACAATAATGTATGATATACAATTTTTATTTTGAAATTCGAACTTGTGTTTGTTCAGTGACTAGTGTGTACAATATTTTAAAATTCAAAAAGTTATTTAACTTAGCAGTTTCATTTTCCACCTTTATTTTTTATTGGAGAAACTTAAACCCAGATGTATGTCTATGGGTTAGAAAGATACTATTTTTAAATGAGATTTTATCTTTTAACAATTAGTTTCACTTCCTTATCTTTATTAGTTCTCATATCTTTTGATCAATAAGAACCTCATTATACAAAGCAAAACTACCATACTCCATACTCGTTCCCTTCATTTTATGCAGAAGAGTATGGGATTTTGTTGCATTAATGAGGTTATAGGTCCCAGTGAGAAGGTAATACAATTTATTAGCTCTTAGAAAGTTAGTGCAATCCCCAATAAAACCCAGACAGCAGTCCAGAAACTTTTGTCTTACCTTCATTCTTTCAAATTGAGACAGAACTCTGAGGCCCCGAAGGAACTTAATGGAAGTGAGTGGTTTTAGGTCATCCCGAGTTTTGCCTATTAAGCTGAGACAAAACACCTGTGTAGATATTTTTAAAAAGAGTCAATATGATCCCAAGAACTGAAAGAATATCTAAAAACTATAAAAAGTATCCTATAAAAAGTATAGTCAAAACCTACTAATAAATCTATGAAATGTTTTAAAATACTTTAATAATAGCTTAACAATGTTTTAAGAAATCACCTTGTCTTAAAATCCTTTAAATATAAAAATATTTTTGATGAAAAGAACATAAGTTACTGAAAAAAGATCTATATACTTACGTGTTTCATGTTCTTTGTGTGGGAGAAAAGAGTGTGGTTGTGTATGTATGTGTGTTCACACTAGTCCCCAGCCTCAAACTCAAAGCTTAGGTGCTGTCCCTTAGCATTTTTGCTGAAGGTTAATTCTCAACTACTTGAACCACAGTTCCACTTCCAGCTTTTTTGCTGGTTAATTGGAGATAAGAATCTTACAGGGGCTGAGAAGTGGCTCAGTGGTAGAACGCTTGCTTTGCATGCATGGGACCCTGGGTTCAATTCCTCAGCACCACATAAGCAGAAAAAAAAAGCCGGAAGTGGCACTATGGCTCAAGTGGTAGAGTGCTAGCCTTGAGCTGAAGAGCTGAGGGACAGCGCCCAGGTCCAGAGTTCAGGCCCCACGACCGGACCCTCCCCCCCCAAAAAAAAGAATCTTACAGACTTTCATGCCTGGGCTGGCTTTGAACTGCAATAATCAGATCACTAGCTGTCAAGTATCTAGGATTACAGGCAAGAGCCCACCAACACCTGACGATATATGTTATATTCTTTAAAAAATAATTTATTGTTATTATAACAATTTATATATTATTATAAAACCCCTCTGTACAGAGGTATTATGGTTACATAAGTCAAATAAAGCATACATACCTTTTTGAACAATGTCACTCTTTGTTATACTCTTTAGGATCAAGCATAAATATTTTTTTTAATTTATTTATTTATTTTTTATTTGTGAACATACTGTACAGAGGGGTTACAATTACATGGGCAGGATAATGCGTACATTTCTTACCAAGCATTGCAGCCTCCTCCTTTGGTTTACCCTTCACATCCCTTCCCAGCCTCCTCCCTCCCCCCCAATCTTATCCTAGGTTAAAATCAATTAAGAATAAATTTTATGATTATTTTCATTACCATAATGATATGCATATATTCATTAAAACAGTTTGAAATATTTATTTGTATACATGCATAGTCAAGACATTATACACAATATTATTTTATTTAGAGAAGGCTATGCATATCATTTATTCAAAAATAAAAATTGTAATAAAAATGTCTGTAATTCTAGTTACTCTGGAGACTGAGATCAGGAGAATCAAGGTTGTAAGTCCACATCCTAGATCAACCAGTGGAAAGTGGTGAGCACTGACAAACACTCTTGTCATCCCAGCTATGCTGGGATAAATAATGTTGTGGTTCAGCTGGGGAAAAATATGAGGCTGGTTAAAAAAAAAAAAACCTAAAAGGATTGAGGGCATAGCCTTGGTGGCTTAATGTCTTCCTAGCAAGTGAAAGGTCCTGAAGTTCAAAGTTCAGTACTACTAAAAAATATATAAATTATAAAATTATAACTCTACAGTGAGGTAAACTTTAAAGTAAATATAGCTACATGAAATTATTAAGGATTAATAAATGTGAAGATTGAGGCAAGGTTGATGGAGCTCTGATTTTCACTGTATTCTATCACCATGTTTTGCTATTTTCAAGTCAATGTACATGAATGCACTTTTTCTGCTTTTCTTTTTCTTTCCTTTCTATTGGTAATAATTGGGTTTGCACTCATGACCTCAAGCTTCCTTTCATTTGAGTCATACCCCAACCATTTTTGCCGAGTTATCCTCAAATAATAATTCTCCCATTCTCCACCTACCAAGTAGCTTGGATTGTAGGCATATATAACTTCACTCGGTTGTTTGTCTTTTTTTCTATACTAGGAATATGGTCATGAACATTTCTTTGAAGCATGGGGATCATTCATATAAGCATAAAATCTACAAAAATAGTGACTATGAAAGGATTTTTTAGCTATACTATGGTTGGCATGAGTAGAAGCTTAATTTGCAAGAATAATTCAGAAGAATGAAGTTAGCTCTTACAACTCATCAACTGTAGATTGAAAACCTTTCATCATTATAGACTAGACAGCCATTTATTCATTCAACAAACATTATTATCACCAATAATATGATATGAATTTCTCTACACATAGAATAAAGGAAGGAAGAAAACTGAGAAAAAATTCTCTGCTGATAGAAATTGTCTTTCCATAGGGGAAGAAAAACAGTAACCAAAACAAAGGAATAAATCACATATTAAATGGGTTATGAAGATAAAAAATATCAGAGTACTGAAGTGGTTTGTAGTTTTGATTACCTAATGAAAGAAGATCTAACTTGAGTAGTTTCATTTCAGCCATGATATAAACAACAAAATTTCTTTGGAAGAATGAGTTCAGATACTAAAATGGAAGTAGTGTTGACTAGTTTAGGAACTTCAGAATTGTTGGTAGTTAGTGTATTAACTGGCGTGACAGGAAGGACGAGGAGAAGCGGTGCCTAGGCTCAGGTCATATAGCCTTGTATGTCTTTAATTATAAAGATCGTTGCTTTGGTTTGACCGAGCGTGAAGGTTTAGGATACAGCTCCAAGAAGGGAAGTACATATAAGACAATCCTACAATCATCACTCCTGTTGGTACTTGGGAAATTAAAAAAAAATGTAGCAGAAACAAGAATGCCAAAGTAAAATGAATGGCAGTGAGTCAAATGAACAATTCAATAGTGTGGGTGCTGGTGAAATTTTCAATAAATAGTTATGGATATACTGTTTAAAAATAGAACTAATAAATGTCAGCATGCTTATATTTTCATGATATTGTGTCACAAGCTTTTCTGTTACCATAGGGTTGGTAGGTGAGTAATTACAATAATGAGCAGTATAATATTGAGTGTATTTTTAAGATTTAAAATGACAAGATATGGATGAATATTAAACTACAGATACAGAATAATGGAGTATAGGTATGAAAGTACACAGAGATGGAAAAAGGAGCTCTAATTAAATAAGAGGGCAAGAGGAAAATGAAAGTGAATCACCCTTCAAATTCTTTCTTCAAAATACGTACAAGAACAACCATGAAATCCAGCTTGTACCAGCTATTGGAGAAATATGCTTTAAAACCATATGCTATCCATTTTAGAAGCATTTCCAGAATGAAGATGTAGGTGAAGATCATGTCAGCATATTCTAATAAGATTTTAATAGTCTTTCGCTGATCAATATAGATATCCTCAAAAGCCTGTGGGTAAAAAAGTTAAGGATTAGCATAAATATAATTTCTGAAAGCTCTGACACTAAAAGGAGTGACATTCTACTTCCAACAAAACCAGATACAAAACTAAAGGAAAAATCTTTTATAATAATAAAGCAACCAATATCATAATTACAAATCTGTGTCCACAAATAATTAGTAATGAAAAAATTTTAATGAAATTAAAAAGGAATTTAGAAAAATTTGGTATTGTGGGATAGTTGCATATATTTTTTAAATCACTAATAAAGGAGACAAAATGTTCTTCACTGTATTGAACAAGATATGGCATCTTATATAGCTATAAGATGACATAATTGTACCTAACACATCAGATACCATATACTTTTCAGGTACATATTGAATATTGTAGTTGATTGTGGGTAGAGTTGTTCACCAATAGCTACCATTCCACAGCAACTATGAGTTCATCTCCTAATATAACTGAAACTCTCTATGAAGAATTGCCTCTAGCACATGGGAACACCAAAGAGACAGTAAGAGGGACACAATTCAACTGATGGCTAACTAACGTAGAGAGAGAGAAAAATCAGAAATCTCCTTACTCAGAGTGGAAGTATATCATGTATTTTGGAGCCCAGAAACCTTCCTTTCATATCAGACTTAATCAAGTTTTGCTTGAGGATCTGGAAAACCCACTCAGTGTGGGAAGTACCCTAGCAAGGACCTCTTTAAGATTTGCTTTGACTTCATTTCCTGACCACTGATGGATTAACAGTCAGAACTCTTCATAAAGAAGTTAGAGAATTTCTGGTAATGCTAAAGAAGAAAAAGGGTGCTTGCCAGACAGAGCACCTGGTACGTATGTAGGATGTGATAAGATGAACTGAAGGAAGTGAGAGAGGTTGCCTGGGTGTGGAGCCTCAGTGTGTGGAAGGGTGTTTTTTTTTCTTTTTTCACTTCCCCGTGGATTCTGTAACAGATTATCACAGTGAGTGTCTGACAACCATCCACATATATATGCTTACAAATCTTGAAGTCAGATGTCTGAAAGCAGTTGTGTGAAACTAAAAGCAAAGTGTCCAGAGAGCCAATTTTGGACAGAATATTCAGGAATAAGGCATTAGGGGGGCATGCTATGTCTTCACTAAACTTGAGGCTGTTGTCACTTTGTCACTCTTTCCTTTACGTGCTACTGTATTGAAAGAAGTCAAAAGTGACAAAGTGACAACACACAACAGCAGGACTGACTGGCCATGATTATCATGAAGAAGTGGATATTGCAAACAAATGAGAAAATGAAAAGATAAACAAGTATATAAGGGCTGAATCTATTATTATAAAGTTAAAAAACTGGGAATATTAATTTATAGCAGTTGAAGTTCGCGTACTGGCTTTTCATGTGGTGATGGGGAGTTACTGTGTGGGGTCACAACACAATTCCAGTTACAATTAAATGCCAAAACTGTGTAATTCTGGAACTCAGGCAATGTTCTATCAATCTAAGTGACAGCTTCATTCACTCTGTGAACCTCAGTAATCCTGAGTATCCCAATAAATGCAGTATATAGTATGTGTGATAAATACTAATTGATAATATACTTTACAAATATATACAGCCCAATGCTGGGGGGCTCATGCCTGTGATCCTATCAACTCTGGAGCCTGTGTTCTAAGGATTAAGTTCTGAAGGCAGCCCAAGCAGCAAAGTCTGTGAGACGCTTACCTCCAATTAACTATCACCAAAAAAAAAAATAATAAAAGAAAAAAGGAAAAAAAAAAGCCAGAAGTACAGCTATGGCCCAAGTTGTAGAGTGCTAGCCTTGAGCAAGCACAGAGACAGCTCCCAGGCCCTGAGTTCAAAGTCCAGTATTAAGTCTGCTTCCCAGCAATGACTTGTCTGTTCATATCAAATACAAACCAATTCACTAATACTCTAAATTTCTTACTTTCTTACATAAAAGAGAATATGCCATAAGCTTTAAAATATTGGCAAAAATATTGAACATTCTTTTAGCATGTTATAAAATAATGTAATATTATAGTATCTATCTACCTATCTATCCAGATCTTATGTTTGAGTAATAGTTGCTTTTGTAGATTTTTATCATAGCATATCTTAGCTATTATGAACACATTCTCTACTCAAATTTGGTTATTACCAAAAATATTTCTGAGAATAACCTTGTATATAAAATTGATACATGTACCTATACATACAGTATAGTTTCCCCTACTTAATAATTTTGGATTGAAGACTAAATACTTTGCAATTCCAAAGCTTTTAAAAAGTCATGAGATACTTCTCTTTCCTTATTGAGCACCAATCAATAGGTTAGTTTAAATGTTCAAATTATTAATTTGCTTAATGAATACAACAATTGAAATCAGAAGATTTAAATGTCTATTTTTATTCCTTTTTGCCATTCGAATTCATACTGTTTTTTGGTCAGCTGTAGGTTGAATTCAGGGCCTTGTTTCTGAGCTCCTTTTGCTCAAGGCTAGCACTCTACTTCTTTAAAACACAGAGACACTTCTAATTTCAGAGTGTTAATTAGAGATAACAGTCTCACTGGGACTTCTCTGCCTGGGATGGTTATGAATCATGATCCTCAGATCTCAACTTCCTGAGTAGCTAGGATTACAGGTGTGAGCCACCAGCACCAGGCTCATATATATTTAAAACTATATTATCTATGCAATTTTGATGCTTAAATTTAATAATAAATTTTAACACTGAATGATCCATACAGAAACTGTAACACAGTTACTGAAATAAAGTTATAGAATATTAAATCTGGTGTGATATAAAACATTCTGGGGAATGTAGCCTGGCAAGGTGACTTTCTTAATGAACTGAGTTTACCTTGACTTCTCACTTACCAGAGCACCAGTGCTGAGCAGAGTGACAAGGCCAATGAAACCCTTAAACCAAATGTTTTCTACAATCTTGCAGCAGGTCTTCCTTATATTCTGCCAAATCTTTCCTCTCCTAGATTGTTTACTGATCTGACCAATTGAGGATCCCCGTCTATAACCTGTGAAGGATGAAATGGTTAAGGACAAATATCTAGAAAACTCAAGAAAAATAAACATCTTAAATGTTAGACTGCATGCTTCAGCAACTATTTGCAGACTCTAAGAAAGGGAAGTTAAAAGTGGAAAAATATTTTATTTTAGATTTTTGCTCTGTGCCCAGTTATTATCATTATTATCATGAGTGATCATTTCTTGCTTTGTCTTAAATGATATAGGTCCTTGGGTTTACCTGGGTGACAATAGTCTTATTCTAAAGGTAGAAATTTGATACTTAGCAGTGACCATTTTGATGACTCCCCGTTGCTTTCAAATGACCAAACCTATAGTGAATTGTTAATTTTGCCAGGAAATAAGCTTAAGTTATAACCCATAAGAGATTAAAAGTTATATATCAAGTGTGTTAGATAAGTGGAGCTGTATATTGTATATTTGTATTCATGTGAAATTTATAATATCACCATTATAATTTGTTTTATTATGAAAGTTACAGTACTTTTTGTAATAAGTAGAATATTGTCTTTAATTCAAAAGATGAAGACTATTTCACTCAATATATGTATCTATAATGTAATATATATGTATCTATAATGTAATATTTAATATATAATTTATATTATGTATGCATTAAGTTATAATTATATTAAATTATAGACACATGTATATATATTCCACTGATGATTTAGATATACTTTCTATATTTTTATTATGCTTAGATTATGCTATATTTAAATTTGCAGTTACATTATTATCAGTATAAATTTAGATAAACAAATTTGTATATTTTAGTCTGTATTATTTGTAGCATAAAATGTGCCTTGTGATCAACATTATTTGCTGATATTCCACTGATATATACTGCTCAATAGTACTTTTCTGAATTGACTATCCATTGGATTGTTATCATTGTAAGCTAAGTCAGTGAACTTTTTTCCTTAATGTTGACTTTTATCTTGGCATCTATTTGTGCCTATGGAAATATAGGTGGTGTATGTATATATTCCCACAGATTAATATGGCTGCACTCCTTAAAAATTTAAGGAACTCTTTAAGACTGAAAACAAACAAAAAAGCATTATTTGGGTCAAGAAACAGTCTAATCACACTAAAATTTTCCTCAGAAATTTTTTCTTACCACTTTTAAGATGCCTTGGCTTTTCATGTCCATAGATGATTTCTTCTTCTTCAGAGATAGCAATATCAACTGTACTGCATTCTGATGAGCTTGATTGCTTTATTTTCTAAAAACATATAGTCCCACAAATAATTATATTAAAGTTTGATTTGTTCAGTATAGTTATGACTTATTCCATTTTGAGAACAAAAATTATTTACAGAGCAAATGTGATCCAGTTTAAGAAAAGCCTCATGACACTTTTACGATTGGTATCAAAAGGTATTGGCATACATTGAAACTTCAATTTTTTTTTAAAAAGACTTAATTTAAGGTAGAATAACAGGTTAAATTTAACATTTAGCTAGTAATGTTTTGCTCATCAGTATTTATATGCAACCTCTAACTTATGAAGGAAATTTTATTCCAGTTTTTTTGGGGGGTGGGGGGTGATCTGGGCGTAGGGCCTGAACTCTGGGCCTGGGCTCTGTCCCTCAGCAATTCAGCTCAAGGCTAGCCCTCTACCGCTTGAGCTACAGTGCCACTTCCAGCTTTTTTCTTTTTTGCTTGTGTGGTGCTGAGGAATCAAACCCAGGGCCTCAGACATGCAAGGCAAACACTTTACCACTGAGCCACCTTCCCAGTCCCTCCAGTTTTCTTAAGGGGACCAAAAGGGTTCTGTATATACTAATTCAACCAGATGAACAGCATAAAAACAAATGATTCCTTCATTATAAAAATAAGAAGATAACAATGTAGCAGACCTTCTTGCATTTCTCATCATTGATGAGTTGGATAGAAAACCATGATGAAGTGAAATGGAAGAAAGGGAGAAGGAATGGGACCATGAGAGTCTTATGAAAGTAACACAAGCTATATAGTGAGTGCCTGGATCTAGCAATGAACTTTCTTCTTCTTCTCCTCCCCCTCCCCCTCCCTCTTCTTCTTCTTCTTCTTTTCTTCTTCTTCTT